GTAGCTGAGTACTGAAGCTATATGATGTTGTACTCTGATGTATTTCAATTATGAAAATGAAATATATTGTGTGCTTAATATGAACTGTCAATTAGATTAATAAATGGATTATGAATAATCGGATAATTAGCCTGCTAGTGGCAAATTAGCCTGCTAATTGGGTTTTGCTATTGCAAACGGTTGTTAAAAAATACCGTGGGCGATGACCTCACGCAACGCACATAGTTTCTAGGAATAAACCGTGTTGAATCAATGAACAATCACACACTACTTTATCTTGAAAATTGTTTGCGTTAAGCCACCTTGCGCAAACGTTTACCACATGAAAACTGTGTGTGATGGACAACCTTTGCCGCACAGTTTTTTCCATGGACCGTGTGTGATATATTCAATGACGCAAGCGATTTAATGGGAAAAATTGTGTGTGATGTACCTGTGAACGGAAACATTTTCCTTCGAGCGACTGCATGGGATGTACATACGAAGAGAAATGTTTAGCGGGGACTGACTGTGTGGGATGTACTTGCGACCGGAAACAATTTTGTCGTATAATTATATTTTCTTTAGCTCTACTGTATGTATTTCCGTATTTGAACGCTCGTCGGTCGCACACGACCTCATTTTGCCGAACGTGTGTGCCAGGAGGGCATATCCTCGATGGTTCCTGGGTCGTGTGGGAAGGACCCCCCTATCCCCACACTCACTTGGCGACGGTTCCAGATGTCGTCGCGGAAAGGGGTTTTAAAGCGTTTGTTTAGGAGCTCGTTGTACTAGTGAGAGAGTCTCGATGTCGTCATAAAGAAATCATTGTGTTAATTGAAAATATCTTGGATGAAGAGGAAATCTTCTGGTTGCAAAGAGGACGGGCGAACTGGTTGATGCACGGGGATCGTAATACGCCGTTCTTTCATAATGGTGCCACGGCCAGGAAAAAAAGAAATAATATAAAAAAACTCTTAGATGAGTCTGGAAACTGGATACAAGAGAAGGATTTATTGGGTCACATCACTGAATATTTTTCAAAGCTCTTCACATCGGAAATTCAGCATCTGAATCAAGAAGTTTTATCACTTGTTCGTATGAGAGTGTGAGATAAAATGAACAATGCTCTACTAGCCCCTTATACCGCGAAAGATGTTCGCAAGGCTTTATTCGATATTGGGGACTTGAAAGCTCCAGGGCCTAACGGACTCCATGCTATTTTCTACAAAAGGTTTTGGCCCATACTGGGGGAGGACCTAATTGAGGAGGTTATGAAAGCAATCAACACATGCACTATCCCAAACGGTTGGAACAACACGGCGATTGTGATGATCCCTAGGATGAATACACCAGAAAAGGTAACCCAATTTAGGTCGGTCAGCTTATGTAATGTGGTTTACAAAATAATTGCAAAAATGGTGGCCTCTCGATTGAAGGTTTTTTACCAGAAATTATTAGTCCAATACAGAGTGGATTTGTACCGGGTAGGTTGGTAACGGATAATATTTTAGTGGCCTACGAATATTTTCACACAATCAAGAACAAAAGAGAAGGTAGAGAGGGCTTGTGTGCTAAAACTTGACATGCACAAAGCATATGACAAAGTTGAGTGGCCTTTTTGAAGGAGATTATGTTGAGATTGGGTTTCCGTCAAGAATGGGTGAATTTGATTATGCAATGTGTCTCAACTGCCGAATACAGAGTAAGAATCAATGCAGAGGAAAGTGAGTGTTTCAAGCCTACTAGAGGACTGAGGCAGGGAGACCCACTATCACCATACCTCTTCCTATTGTGCACTGAGGGGTTGAATGCCTTGCTTGCGCATGCTGAGGAGAACGGAAACATATCATGAGTTAAAGTCTGTAGAGACGCCCCACTAGTCCCAAACCTTCTATTTGTGGATGATTCATTGATCTCGATGGAAGCCAACCTACATAGTGCGGTGGCCCTAAAATCAACACTAGATTTATACTATGCGGCATCGGGACAGTTGGTAAGCGTGGAAAAGTCTAGTATTTTCTTTAGTCCTAATACAAAGGTAGAGATCATAGAACAACCGTGTACAACGCTGAATATAATGACTGAGGCACTGAATGACAAGTACTTGGGCTTGCCAACAAATGTGGGGGTAGATAAAATAGACTGCTTTAAAATTTTGATTGAACAAATTGTTAAGAAAATTAGTGGTTGGAAGGAAAAATTATTGTCTGCCGGGGGGGAGGAGATACTGCTCAAGGCTGTGATCCAAGCCATACCTACCTATGCAATGTCGGTCTTTAAAATTGCTAAAAAATGTAAAGGAATCATTGACACGATAGCGCATTTCTGGTGGGGAGACAAGGAGAACCAGAGGAGGGTGCATTGGATGGCCTGGTGGAAAATGTCCGTACCAAGAAAACAAGGAGGAATGGGATTCCTTGATATCCACTGTTTCAACCTGGCTTTTCTTGCCAAACAGGCATGGCTTCTTCTTGATAACCCTGATTACTTGTGTGCTACTATTCTAAGGGACAAGTACTATCCTGATAGCGATTTGTTGAATTCCAAGCCAAAGAAAGGCACTTCTTTCACCTGACAAAGCATTATGGCAGGCATAATTTCTCTGAAACGTGGCTATATTTGGCGAGTGGGGAATGGACAAAACATCAATATTTTGGGAAGATGCCTGGATCCCAAACTGTGCCACTAGGAAGATTGTGACCCCTAGGGGGGACAATTATCAAAAGTGGTCAACCTGATTGACCCTGCGTCCAATACTTGGGAAGAGGATCTGATTAGACAAACTATGTGGCCCATTGACGCACAACAGATTCTCTCAATCCCACTTTCGCAACATGACATGACAAATTTCATTGCCTGGAGTTATATGAAGAATGGTATGTTCTTGGTACAATCTGCTTACTCTGTGGAGTGGAATTATCAGTATGGGTGTAAACTAAAATACTCTAATGGGATGGGGCGAACCACATCTAACCCTATATGGTGTCAGATATGGAAGTTATCTTGTCCGGCAAAAGAAAATAAATTATATGGCGTATGTTACATGTCACACTCCCATGTCGAGTCACACTCGCTAATAAACACATGAAGGTCTCGCCCATTTTCCCTACTTTCTCTCAGGGTTTAGAAGATACGAAACACATGCTCTTCCTCTGCAGTAAAGCAAAGGAGGTTTGGAAGAGGCTAGGGATGGATGAGATTATTGATAAAGCTTGTGAGGTTAATCGTGCTGAAGTGGCAATACTGGAATACCTTCTACTTCTTCCAGACCAAGATTTGCGTATTATGGGGTACCAAGATGTACGAGAAATAATAGCTAGTTCAGCTCGGTATCTATGGTGGGAAAGACGAAAATTGCTGCACAAGGAATTAACTTAGAATGCTACTCAGATATCTATGGGGATCATAGCCCTCACGTCAAACTTTGTAAATGCATCATCTCCGAAGACCTCCATGAAAGGGGGTGGTATTATACTCCTAGAGGTTTTGTGAAACTTAATGTTGACACCTCTTTTGATCATGACATGCTGAAGGGTACGATGGGAGCAGTTCTGAGAGACGACAAAGGTAGGTTTATTGCTGGAGGAAATGGAAAGATTGACTATTGTGTGGATGTTCTGATGGCAGAAGCCTTAGCTCTCAAATTTGGCCTAATATTGGCGCAAAGGGCGGGGTGTAATCGCCTAATCATCAACTCGGATAATGTGGAGGTGATTGAGACCATCCAGGACGGAGGACAATCGGCGGGTGCAGCGGCAGCAATTTTCGATGACTGTTACCACTATGCATGTGATTTTGTTATAACTAGATTTGAACATTGTAATAGAGAGGAAAATAAAGTAGCTCATGAACTCGCTAGATTAGCTAGATTTTCTTCGACTTCAGATTGGTTTGAGGAGACTCTAAATAAAATTGTAATGATCCTCATAAACGATGTACTGGTTATTTCTAATGAATAAAGTGTCGATTTAATTCAAAAAAGGTGGATATCCGTTTCTCTCGAAAGACCATACTGCCTTTGTACACTTTGGACGTGTTTGGTTTCCTGGGTGCATCCAGGATGCATTGCATGCTTGAGCTTGGCTGGGGCTGGCCTGGTTGAGCTGATGCAAAAAGTAGTTGAGATGTATGTTTGGTGTACTGCATGATATGGGTCAGGTTTAGCTCAGATTTTGTTTGGTATCTTGCATCTGAGGTTGTATGAGAGATGCAACATACAATAGATGATGTTTGGTTAGCTGTATGATGTGCAATTTCACTGTATGGTGCTTTGTACATACATGTAAAATCAGTTACAAAATAGTTCTGGTGACATGCATTCTAACTCAGATAACTTTGATAATTGAAATAATATTAAAAAAAAGTGATCTCATGTTTCCAAATTTTTGTCAAAATATTATCACATGTATGCAAAATGGCAGAGATGCTTCAAGTAAGAAAAACAAAATTTCAGCAACACCTTGGTTGTTTGTATAGTATATAAGCAGTTTATATGACACATAAGCACTTTATGGTACATAATAGCTAAAGAAATGCACCAACATCAGAGTTCACGTATTAGATAGAGCCACAAATCCATATGGTCCATATTACAGTCCAGTATATCTTAGAGTTCACATATTAGATAGAGTTCACATATTAGATAGAGTTCACATATTAGATCCATACTACAGAACATAACATAAGGTCCATGTTACATTCCATACATCACATATATAGGGGCATGGTTTTTTTGACCAAATATAATAAAATATGGTCAACTTGGATAGGTGAATTGGCACAAATTTGCTCACACTCCACCCATGGGTGCATCATCCTTGGGCGCTTCATCCATGGGCGCTCCATCCTTGGGCACTCCATCCTTGGGCACTCCATCTTTGGGCACTCCACCATTGAGCTTGGAGAGGTGGTGAATGACCCAACGAGAGCGGCAAGCCTGTGACATCTGCACGAATGAGTAGCTCCTAGCCCTGTTGGTGTTCTCATTGAGATAATCCAAGACAATCAATAGGTCATCCTCAGAAAAAACCAGGGAGCTCCATGATAACATCATAAAGTTCAGGATGTGCCTCTCCAGTGGACTTGATAGCAACAGCAACTTCGCGGACTGCATCGGACATGTTGCTCATGACCAAAACTTCTTCTTCACTCATCAAGCTAGCCCTCTTCCTTTTGCCAGTGGAGCTGGAAGCATCCTTACAAGGTTCCTTCCCACGAGTAGCAACATCATCTTCTCCATGAGCAGTAGCAGTAGCACTCAATCCAGGTTCATTCCCATCCACAACAAATTCAGAACCACAACCTTCAAGGTTTACAAATGATGGGGAGGTTTGCACCATTGATGGAACCCCAAGAGGTTGATGAGATGTCATTGCGTACCTTCCTGTAGTAATACCACTCCCAAAGATAGCAAGCATCTGAACATAATTCTCTAAAGGCACATTGAGGTACTCAACATCTTTTGGGTGGTCCTACATGAAGTGTGGATATGTCAAGGTTAGTGAAATAGGTACTGATCCGGTTATAAAAACTAGTAAATGCTACAAGTCAAATATGAAGTGTGGTTATGTACAAGCAATTAAATAGCTACTGATCAGCAACTCAAAGCTAGTACAAACCTTGATATGGCCCAGGTAGTGCTCTTCCTCCAGTGATATGACAAAGTTCGTGTCATCCCAAAGTGATCCACTAATGTCTCGGAGCTTACTTATCTTCACCTACCTAGCACGCCACTTGCGGATGTGGTTGTACACTTGGGTCCCTGTTATTATGGAAAGACCAAAGTTCTCACTACAATTCTTAGCCACCTGGTTTAGGTGCACCTCCTTAAAGCCCTTATCTTTCTTCACTCCACCAGCAATGAGCTCTACAAACTGACGTAACATGAACCCAGACATTGCAGATGTCTAGCGCAATAGGTGATTCCCACCACCATGCCCACCATCAGCCGCCATCTCAACCATCAGTCCTATGTATAGAACAATCAAAAGGAGCATAAACATAATTAATATTTAAATCTCAAGTTTAAAGTGAAGCACCGACAGAATTAAAGAACCATAAACAGAATTGAATGAAAGAACCATGAACATAATTGAATGGAAGAATCATAAACAGAATTGAATGAAAGAATCATGAACAGAATTGAATGAAAGAATCATGAACAAAACTAAATTGAATGAAAGAATCATGAACAAAACTAAATTGAATGAAAGAACCATGAACATAATTGAAATGGAGCTCAAACAGCAACATAAGAGAGTACATAATACATAAATGTTACAATTTGGGTACATGACAAAATTATTCATAATGCATTACAACATAGAATTGAGCTCTACACTTGAGCATAACATATAACTAATGGCAAACATATGCCCAACCCAACACGAGCTCTACACACGTGAATTGCCCCTATTGGCAAACATATGCTCAGCCCAACCATCTCTAATTTGTGGCCAGGTTCTATTATCATGTTCTATGTCAATCACACCATCCGACGCTGGATTCCCAGTCCAAGTGTGCTCAGGTGGTACAAACTCATCCTCTCCCCACTGTAGTATCCAATTATGAAGAATGCAGCAAGCTAGGACGATTTTGACTTGTGACGGATAAGGATGGTGAGGCTTGTTGTTCACAATTCTCCACCGGTTCTTGAAAGCTGTAAACGCCCACTCAACCGTGATCCTCAATGAGGAGTGACTGAGGTTGAATAACTCCTTCTCATTTTGAGGGACACGTGCACCAAACTCAGTAAGATGATAGCGTGTAGCCCTATATGGTGGAAGAAACCCTAGCCGCACGGCATAGCCCGCATCCACGAGGTAGAATTTTTCTAACAAATAAGAGGTCATGTGTTGTGTTACTACCAGTAATAATGAGGAAATGAACAAATTCCACTAAAATGGTTCACTAATACCTGCAGGGACAACAAATCCATCGTTCCTTTCCAACGCATCGGCCAAAATGAGTGCATCGTGGGCTGACCCTTCCCAACCAGCTAACACATAGGTAAACTTAAGGTCAAAGTCAACCGCAGCCATCACATTTTGGGTGGTGCCACCTTTCCGACCCCTAAATGCCGAAGCAATAGCAGCCGGTACCTTGGCAAGAACATGGGTGCCATCAATTGCACCAACACAGTCCTAAGAAAAGAGGTGAGGTATATTTTGTAAAATATGGGTTATTCGACATGTCTACAGCATTCTAAATGGCAATATATTACCTTAAAGTAGGGATAGAAGCGCCTACTGTGTAGGACTTTTGGATGAACTTCATTGGATGGGGGCTGGATCATCTCATCACGCAACTCCCTAATTGCATATAAAACTGCCCTGAAGTATCGACTGATTACTTCAATTGACCTCCTAAATATGTGTTTCATTGCCCTAAACCTATGGTTGTGCCCAACTACAAGAAGGAACATCGCAACCTGCTCCTCTATGCAGGTATGAATGCTATCTTCCAACAATTTTTGATCACGAAATAAGTTACACAAGTTATAAAATGGGGCCATGTTCATCCTTAATAGGTCATGGCAATTTATATCATTGGTGTCATACATAAAACATAGATTGGATAACCTAGCTATGTCTCTCTCAAGCATAATGTAACGAATTGGAGCACGATAGTTTCTAATTCTAGCCCTTGTAGTTATCATGGCCATATAGGCACACAAAACAGCAACCAAACCAGCAGCTTGCACTATCAGCATATCTCGGGTCTTGCCGTTGTCATCCATATATATAAATGCATCATAGATTTATAACTTAATAAAGGCATGAGCACTGATAATATTGACATCATTTGCATCATCAAAACAAAAAAAATGCAGAAATTATCATACTATTTGCACCATTTGCATAACTATTTAGTCAAACTATCTACTGATTCCTTCCTTTCCATAAGCTAGCAAAGTGTCTACGTGATATAAAAAATACCCAGCCATCACTAATCCATAGGGGGAAAGGAAGTTGGTGACAGATCTGAACTTACAAGAAAAAAAGGAGAGGGGACGTGATGGAAAAATGATGCATTGGTGCTTGCCACACCCAGATGGAGGAGAAGGCACTAATCCACGACCAGAGGAGGCTACCGCTTCACCCATCCCCGCATCAAAGAACAAGCACCACGAGTGCAGGGCGAGCGGCAGAAAGATGTGGATCTGAGGGAAAGAGAGGGATGCAGACGGATGGGAGACCCTGAGAGGGAGGGGAGGAGGAGGTTTCTACCTCCGCAGCGGCGACGATGACCGACGGCGATGTCGACAGAGGCGTCGGGCTGCGAGATCCGCAGTTGTCGCAGCAGCAGGAGGGGAGCGAGGAGAGCGGCGTGAATGAGTCAGATGTGAAACTGCAGGAGAGAAACCCTATCCCCTCGCTTGCGTGGGTGCAGGCGTGCGTGCAGCGGCGGGTGCTGACTCGCTGATACGCCCGAAACCTGCGTTCGTGCAAGCCTGGCTGGGAGCCCCTTTTTTGCATCCGCGGGCCTGGCCCAGTTAGGCATGCGGGCTACCAAACGTCAACGATATTGCATGGTGCGTGCGAGCCAGGTGCGACGCAACAAACCAAACACGCCCTTTGTGAACAGGTTGTACCGAAGCGGGACTTCCTAAACTTAAACAGATTTTGCATGCTTCTTGCAAGAACTTGAATGCACTATAATGAATACTATTTGAAGACATAGGCAAAGCAATCACTTTATTTTGCACTCACTTCTCGTTGAAAATTCAGCACATGTCCAGTACGTATTTGACTAGGAATTACTTTGTAGCATCAATTTGGTGAAATGGCATTACTTTGTAGCATCAGTTTGATTTTTTGTGAAAGATGCACACTGGTGGTATTGGGGTGGGGGCGGGGGGACTAAATCAAAATTATCTGAGCTTAAGTATGCTTGCTAGCTCTGGTGAGATATGCCAACCTGTAAGTGCATCTAGTGCCCCTTAGTGATTTTGGTGTATTGAAGACTTATAGGTTAAGGGACTAATATGTTTATAAGTGTACACATGTCTATAAGTCTATGAGGAGTTTGATATTTACAGAGAAAGTCGGCCCCTAAAAATGAAGTTCTTTGTCTGAAGACTTTCTGAAGACTTTGGAAGTGAAGAAAATGGTGTGACCGTGAAGACTTGGTATTCATTCGAGGAACATGAAGCGTGAAGAATTTTGTTTTCATAGTTTCATTTTCTCTTTCCTGAGTCATAGAAAACACCGTACTGTTAAAGGGGGTCGAGGAAATACTAAGGAAAAATTTCTATGTGATGCTCAACTCAAAATCCTACACCTACCAATCCCTTCGAGTGAAGCCATTGGAAATATCATATAGTTCAGTCAACTTCTTCAGTGACAGAGACGAAGTTCTTCTGGTCTCTGAGGAATTTGTTCTGACTGAGGAGTTAGGAATTCGCCAGTGCGGATTTCCTACACAATGAGGAACATGATAGCCCTGAGGATTTTGCTACTCAAAATTCCGACTGTTGCTGTGCTATGCGCCAGCTGTCCCAAAGTATCTATCCACCTAACGGTCATATCATTGAAGGGCATTTATGTCTTATCATGTCGGGTTGCTCCCTAGGCTATAAATAGCCGCCCCCTACAACCACTAGCTGGTTGGATGCTCCGAGAGAAACTGACAGTTGTCATTTGAGAGCAACCCATCCTCTGAAGACTTCGAGCGAAAATCATCAAGTGAGGAAAAACCAAAAACCCAAAACCCAAACACCTACAAACCCCAAGTGATTGAGCATCACCGAAGAGATTGATCCTACGTGGATCCGACGCTTGTTACCTTTGAAGACTGTGCTTCTTCCAGACGGTTAGGCGTCATGGTCTAGAGCATCCAAGAGTAATTGTGGATCGCCGAGTGACCGAGTTTGTGAAGGTTTGGAAGTCGCCTGAAGACTTACCACGAGTGATTGGACGAGGTCTGTGTGACCTTAGTTCAAGGAGAATATGGTGAGGACTGGGTGTCCTGAGCTGCGTGTTCAAGACTGGGTGTCCGGGACTGTGTGTCCTCGAGTTTAAATACTCAGCCGCTCCAACCAGACGTACAACTGAGACAATAGTTGGAACTGGTCTACCAAATCATTGTCTTCACCAAGCTTACTGGTTCTATTTCTTCAACTCTTTCATTTCCTCATAACTGTGTTGTGTGCTTGTTCATATCTGTGTTTGAAGACTTTGACTGAAGACTTTCTCAATTTCCTCAGTTCAATTTCTTCAGTCTGTTTGTCTTCATCCTGTGTTATCCTGTGCTTACGCTTTTGTACTCTGTGCCTGTCTTCATTTCATCATGATGACTATGCTTGTATTCTGTTATGTTTACTTTTGAGTACTCATTCCGTTGCTAGTAGTTCTTCGCTAAGGAATTTCCTCACCGGCAAATTCCTCAGTGAAGAATTTCATAAAAATCGCCTATT